TAAAATTTGTTCGGACATCCAAAATAATATGTTTCCTTAAACAAACCTAATAATTGGGCTCTCGTACAGTAGTTCCATTTCTTTTGAATAATTCACACGAGAACAAAATTAAATAGTTATTTCGCTTTTCGTTTGTTTTTCCTAGTTATGGTTATTAGTTATACTGTCCAATTGAGCAGTTACGCATTATCACGCGCTGAAGTTGGTGAAAAATAGACCTAGTTTACTTCTTTAGCTGATTTTCACATATGTGTTGAAGATTATTGTAAGAACGACTAAATGAATACTGCCAGACAATTTCCGTGAGCCTATTTAAAAATCTGACGATTTAAGTTGCCAAAAATATGAGTAAACATTATTTTTATTTTCAAATGCATGATTTTTATATATAAAATCCAGGGATCTACAACAATACCTCTGCATGCCTGCAGATATTTCTGATGGGGGAAGCGACCGCCAAGACACATTAATTGTCGGCGCGGCTCGGAGCGCCAAGGAGTAAATAAAGAGATTTTCATGGTATCAAATAATAATAATAATAATAATAATAACTTACTATTTTTTTATAGAATATGTTTTATTTTGTTATTTTTTTAAGAAAATCATGTGAAACGTATTATATATAAAAATAAGAGAATAAAGATATGAGAATAATAATAATAATAATAAATACTTGATATTTATGTATGATGCTCGAGGGATAGCTTCTTAGGTAAATGTTTATTCAGTTTTTGTGATGTAAACTATGTTAATATAGTCTTGATACTGTTTTTATTTACTTAAGGAAAAAGAAAACATTAGAAAAGTAATATTTGACTCCCACGTGAAATGACAGAAAAACACATTTAATTCTACTAGATAAAACTTTATGATTATCGATAGTAGTAAGTGCAAGGTACAAAATCTATATCTATATCTATACTTCTATATGTATACTTCTATACCTATATAATAAAGCGTAAACACACATCTACCATGTTGCGTAAGATGTCAGCAATTACCCTAATGTGAGAAAGAGATCATAAGTTGCTGCCAACATCAAGGAACCAAGATTGCCATGGTTTATTATCATGTCATGTCATTTTGACATTTACAATTGATAATTTGACAAATGTAGGTAAACAATGAAATAAATTTTTTATAATTTCACGCGAACGAAGCCGCACGGGAACAGCTTGTATTATATAAAATAACCTGAAGAATTACCCATAGAACATGAAAGGAACATAAAGGATTTCTGAACCCTAATTCATGTGTTGTATTCAATGCTTGACCGATTGCGAAGTGTGACGCGCAGTTTGATTCATATTCTCCCACAGTGTATGGCAGGAGTATTTTTAGTGAAGATAGTTAGATTTTTTTTTTATTAATATTAACGATATATCCTATTGCCTCGATTTTGAACCTTTCAACCCTGTGTTTGGACTTGTTTTGATAAGGCAACCCTATGCCATTGCACTAGGCACATTAATTTCATCACTTTGAGTATAATTTCATCAGGAAACTCAGAACACAGAAACCGAGAATGGGCCCCTAGATCCTAAATGTTTGATTCTGACAAGGGAACCCTATGCCATTAAATTGTGTATATTATATAATATATTGAATTTAACTTCACCAGGAAACTAAGGAAACGGATGCCTAGCATGGGCCCCTAGACCCTATGTACTTGTCCGATTTCGAAGTGTTAGATGTAGTTTGATTCGCATTCTTCTCCAGAGTGCGGCAGGAGTATTTTTAGTAATGATAGTTTGTTTTTTATCAATATAATCGATCTTTATTAGATACATTTGCGAATCTTTAAACCGTGGCAACCTTATCTCTTGCCAAGTTTTGGTGAGGCAACCCTATACCATTGTATTAACAACATTAATATCTTCATTTTGAGTGTAATTTCATCAGGAAACTCGATGAGGGTAATTAGCCTCTATTTTGTCACCATTTAATAGGTGGCAATCCCCACTCTTGCCAGGAAAAAAATAGGCAACCCCACCTCAGAGACATGTTTACGTTACGAACTATCGATTGGAGACAAAATTTTCAGAAAAGTCGATGAGGGGTTTTCTTACAAAAATTGCCCACTTCAGAGATCAATTAAACATAGCCTTGCCAGGCTAGCATTAGGCAACCTGGTTACAACATGTTTAAAAAAATGTCCTCTTTCACGTAATATAGGTTTCATCACAAAAGAAAATGAGGGAAAGAAAAACGCTTTGTATAATAGTTATTTTATAAATGTTGTCAAAAATCTATGTTCGGCCAAAAGAAATACTTCTACTGGACAAATAAAATACTTACCAAACCAATATAGACTATTAAGATTAATAAGTCACCGTAGCGAGTTCTGCCAATCAAGGTAATGCCCGTTTTTCTGGATTTTGGTGCTGTCTCAAAATTGGCCTTGAATTCCGGTCTGGAAAATAGTTATATTATAAATTTTACAAATTTCGACTAGGTTTCGCTGAGACCTAGATGGTAAGGTCAATAGGTTAAATCGAGTTATAACCATATTGTTGGCGACGTAGTTATCAACGAGTGGTTACATGTGCCGTCCTTGGATGCACCTTGCGACACGTGTAACGCCTGGTACTTCTATGGCAGCGTGTGCCGAAAGACTCAGCGTTGTTTGTATTAAGACTGCCAGAGAACAGTGCGGTAAAGGGCAAAAGGGTAGCATTTGCCGAGGCTGCGACGTACTAGTATCGACTATTGATTGCATTTGTTGTCTAGACTCATGAGAGTAATAAAGGCGTTCGTATTCGGAACGAGAAGATTTTTACATTTAAACACAGTCCACTGCACAAATAATACACATGTCTAGCACCGACATCAAAATAATAATATTTATATTATACAATATAGACATAACATCTACAATAAGGGAGTTTTAGTAAATCAAGGAATTATTTCGTTACTTTTTAGTACACATGTCTGGCACCGACATTAAAGTAATAATATTTGTATTATACAATATTGACATAACAGCTACAATAAGGGAGATATAAGTAATTCAAGAAATTATTTCGTTACTTTTTAGTACACATGTCTGGCACCGACATCAAAGTAATAATAATTGTATTATGCAATATAGACATAACAGCTACAATAAGGGAGATTTAAGTAATTCAAGGAATTATTTCGTTACTTTTTAGTGTATTGTTTTTTTTTTTGTAAAAATTTTGTTTATAGTGTAGTTATTTTGTTTGGAAGTCGGCTTTGTTTTTTTTATTAATAATTTTTTAAAGCTGCTTTTATGAAATACCTCAGTGCTTCTTAGACTGTTGATTTTTGCATTGTCACAACTTTAGCAGACGTAACCTAACCTTTTTATACATTCCCGTCGTTATTAACTTAAATGGAACTATCTTCTGACGAAGTCCCAGACCTGCTGGCATTACATAAGTCGACCTCGGACGTCGGTATTGATAGGTACACGTAAATAATATTTATGTTCATACCTTGTTTGTTTTCTATTGTAATCCTTATTTGGGGTTTCCCATACCCAGCCCAAAAATTTTTCTTTTCCAATCCAAAACACTGTCAAAAAGATACCTACAAACGAAAAGTTGATTAGTTAATGTTAATTTTTGTTTATGTTACCGGAAATGTGTGATAACGTGGAATTGTATACTACTCCTAGGAAAACTATACAATTCTGAAGCTGTTTTAGCAATGTGTAAAATGTTGTTTCAAAGATTATTAAGTACACGCGTATCCTAGGAAATGTGTACATTTACTAGGAATTGAAGTGATTTATAGTCGAGAATATGGAACTGATGGTCAATAAATTGCCCAAAATATTCTCAATAAGAAGTGACTCATATAAATAAGATACTGAAGTAGGGTTGGTTAGTTTGAACAAACTCATGCTCTATGCTCCACCTTCAAGGGAGGATTCTTATCTTTCTACCGGCTCGTAATTTTGTTTGAAAGGCTAAGTTTAATTTTTCGGTGTCGTCGGAACTGCGGAGCTGACCACAATCCTGCGCGCTTCCAAAGCGGATTTGCTCTCCCCACAGTGCGTCCACCTTGAAAGCATCAGAGAAGAAATGCGCTCGCAGTGCAACATGAGCCGGGATAATGTTTAAATACAATATATCCTGTGTTATACAAATTATACGTTTTAGTAATTTCGATTAATAAATAATGAATAATACACATACCCCAAAGAACGATGAATGCCGAGAAATATGGTGCATACCTATTATCCACTATGATATTTATCGAAAAGATATTACAAAACTGCAATACTGGTACAAGATAATAATAACCATACGTTATTACTCCCTTACAATCAGCGCAGATATAATGTATAGAAGGTTTACAAAGCGTTTCTCTGAAAAATGCATTCCGTCAATATCGTTTGGGACAATATTAAGTTAAAATGTTATTATAAGAAAGTAAAATGGAATTAAAATGTTAAATCATCGAGTAAATGCTACATAAATAATTTTGATACAATTAGCTTACTGAGTATGTTTTTGCTCACAGGGCCAAACATTCTTTTCTAAAACGGTTTGGTTGGGACACTTTTAACACCCTAGTAACTTCGTTGTAGATAAAGATAGAAGGTTGAAATTTTGAGATTGTTCAAGAAAAAAAATGTCCACTCTCACAATATGGACTTACTGGCAAATTTTAGTCTGAAATCCGTATTTTTCGATTTTTTAAAAAAAAAAACGTAAATAACTTTAAACTATAGAAAATCGGGCATCAGACTTAGCTCTTTAACTATAGCTATTTTCCTAATTGCACATATCCGTTGATTCGTCCGTTAAGAAACAACCTGTATAAGAGATAGGGAATTAAAGAGATAAACCGATACGCCTTTCTCGTTTGAACATACCGCTGGGTTGTCTTGGTATAGCACTGCGGCGATTACCATAACGATAAGCTAGTAGTATTCACAATGAAGTTAAAAGGGTGTGAAACGTAACTTGAACAGTAACTTACCTCGCATTCATGTAGATTTCATTTCTATATATCGCTAAATATAGACATATTAAAGCCACTATGGAAGCAATTGCTAGAAAGAAATTGAAATGTCCATAAAAAGCGAAGTATCCGGCAATCTGGACAAACATGAAATACATTTTGATATACAGGTAATTTGACGTATTCCCGTTAGTTGATTATTTGTGATAATTTTGATACCTATATGCCTTATGCAAAAGTTAACCATTTTTGAGTTATCATAATGTTAAGATTTTTTAAAAACAAATAAAAAAAATAATTTAAAAAAAACTATCAATTATCAGTCCAAATTTAAAGATGAGAATTGTAGAACCATTTTAGTTTAAATTTTTTGAGAGCCTTTTTCTTAAAACAAAATGCTATGAAACTTGGCTTGCAGATTATTTAAAAAAAAAACTTGTATTAAAGAAACTGAAAAAAAAAATTAAGGCTATTGGAAATCGGGGAACATGTTTTGGGTTTAAATGACAGCTATTGAGGTCCTCTATCTCTACAAAGCTTTTTAACCGTCCGTTAAGAATCAACCTGGATAGATATAAGAGCTATCGCCTGCAAACTTCGTCAGCGCGGGTTTTAAAAAACAACGGTCGTCTATTACATCTGCGTCTATTACATCCCGCCTGCATCTACCTTCTACCAGCTACTTTCTAGTCAAAGTCCCGTCTCGTCAAAATTGGACCACCCGTTACGGTGTCAAAATCGGCCCAGCCGTTTCGGTGTTTAACCTGACTAAATGCAGCTAGCGGACAGACAGAATTTTCTTAAATGCACTTTTCGTTATCAGCAATGCAAATATCACCTTCGCGAAAACCTGGATTTTTTCAATATTACATACGACACTCCAATTTTATTATGTGTAATATATAGATAGAAGATTAAGAATGTATGTGTTAGAACATACCTTTGGTCCAAAGTATTCATGCACTACATTTAATGGCTGTCTGCTAAATATATTGGTGATACCGGCCCAGTTATAAAAAAGGACCTGAAATAAAATGGGTCACAAATTGAAGTAGTAGCAGCAATGGTTTTTATCGAAATAAGTGAAATTTTAAATGGGTCTAGGACGAAATGAACTTTAGTACTTCGATGTAGACCGATGCTTGGCTATTAAATAAATATTTATAACGTTATACCAAACTCTAGTTAGTTATATTATTAGAACAAACCTAACTCAATGAAACCATATAAAATCATTCATAAGAGTAAAACATTTACGGAAACACGTATCTTTGGTCTTGTAGTCACAAGCGTGCATGACATTACCTGACGAGCATTAATACTTGAAGCTTCTTTTGGAATGTAGTACGGTCCGTCATGTAATGCGTATGCATCTACCACAATATTGCGTTTCATTAACCTAAAATGTTTATTTTTATTTCAAAAATATGTCTTGACATTTAAAACAGTTAAAGCACTTTATTTGATAAAGAGGCTTCTAACCTTTCCAGTCCTATATAGTTTTGTCTATCTCCAAATGGAAGGTTCAGCAATGCCATATAAACGATGAGGCTTCTTTCTAAGCTCGAGTATTGCAACGGTTGTGGGTACTGCTTTCTACGAGAAATTATGACGATTATAAATTATTCAGCTCTCCGTACTGTTGTTGGAAATTATATTCATGTATTTCATGTTACATTACTCTGTTTTCGTTACAAAAACTTTTTACTATAGTGTATTTCATATGAAACCTTAAATAAATATAAAAATGCGAAGTCTCGGTTCCCCTGCAAAAGTGTATTAGAGTCATGTAAAACCTACTTATTATAGTTAATGTCTATTGTGAAGTCTTAACACGGTGACATCATTTCAAAAAAAAACCACTTGCTATTTATCCCATTTTTATTTAAACCTAAGCAAAGCTCTCGAAAATTACGTTTGTTAGTTTGAACAAAAATGGCACCGTGTAATTGCCAAGGCTTCATTGTTGACACTAACTAAACTGAATAGGTTTTACATGGCATTTAACACATTTTTGCAGGGGAAGCGAGACTGGGCATTTTTTTAACTTCACATTTTTTATGGGATCTCACTTCTTTTTGTAGGTTAACCTACTTAAACTTTTGTCGCTAAAATCCACCTTAGTTTGAACCCTGCATCTCTCGCACTACATTGAGATCTAGAGGTAAAGTTTAAGTGGTTCTTTTTTCTATATTAAAACCTAACATCTTTGGATTTTAGATTTTTTCCTATAATTATACGTTGACTTCTATCAATCTACAAAATTAAAAGTTTGTGGGACTGCTAGAAGTAGCTTAGAATTTTTTTTTT